GCTTAGATTCCTTAAGAATCTGGCCAACATGGAAGATCATTAATAAACCTCGTCTTAGGCTGAAAAAAAAAAGTTGTGAGTCCTCTGACCCCCAAGGGGTGAAAACAATACAAAGGGAACGGTTCTGACCTTCTTAGAGATCTTGACTGGATCAAATGCTTCTTCGTCAAGTCCCCTTCTCTTTCCCAGCGTTTATTAAGAACCTACTCTGTGCCAGATTTGCTGCTGTTTGGTTGTTTTTCAGCCTGTCTGACTCTTCATGACCCCAGTCTTCTTATACCCAAACCACACTCTTTGATCCAATGATGCTGCCTCCCGGGCTCTCCCACAAACAAGGAGCTCAGCTCTGGCCATTTTCTCTGGCTGCTTCTCACGCTTAGAATGCTCTCTCTCATCTCAGCCTCATGGCCTCCCTGGCTTCCTTTTGTTGTAGTTGTTGTTGTTCAGTTGTTACAGTCGTGTCTGACTTTTTCTGACCCCATTTGAGGTTTTCTTGGCAAAGATATTGGATTGGTTTGCCACTTCCTTCTCCAGCTCATTTTGCAAATGAGGAAACTGAGGCAGAGAGGGTGAAGTGACTTCCCCAGGATCACACAGCTACATTCCTCCTTATAGACACAGGATCTATCTCATTTTGGTGAAACACATTCATCCAAAGGAGTCAACCAGAAGTGTGAACTCCGAGGGCCTCAGGAGTGCTGCAACCAGCAAGAGTTAACAGGTTGAACTGCAGGATTCAGGGCCAGGGGAGCTGACACTTGTCTGGAAGGCCCTAAAGGGCTGGGGCTACCTCCTATAAACAAGAGCATCCTGCCTCCAGTGCAGCTGAAGTCTCTTCATCTCAGCTGCTGCAGAAAAGAAGCAATTGGAGAGAGAAGAACGGCTGCTGCTATGGAGGTGCTGCAAGACTTGCAGAGGGAAATCACCTGTAGCATCTGTTGGAGCTACTTCTCTGAGCCAGTCGCCCTCGGGTGTGGGCACAGCTTTGGCAGGGCCTGTCTCTCCTGGAGCTGGAGACTTGGTGCTGCAACTTCCTCTTGTCCTGAATGCGGGCAAGTGTCGCAGGTCAGAGAATTCCCGGCAGTCAATGGGCTTCTAGCTCAGCTGACTGACCTGAACAAACAGCTCTGCTCCCTGCTTTCGCAGAGTACTGAAGGGCAGAGCCAGTGCACCAGGCACACTAGGAGGATGACCAGACCCCACTATGTGTGAGATGTTCCCAAAGCCCAGCGCATGAGGCTCGCGAGATCTCTCCTGTAGTGGAGGCTGCTAAGAAATGCAGGGAGAAGCTCCAGCACATTCAGAGTCACTTGAAGAAGGATTTGGAGGAAGCTGAGGAGGAGACACCTGCTGTGGACTGACATACAGTGATCAGAAGAGAATATAACAACCTGCACCACTTCCTGATGGAGGAACAATTCCAGTATGTTGAAAGGGTGAAGCAAGATCAAGGGGCGAACCTGAACAGATGACCCCAACATGTGCAAACCCTTTAGGACCTCATGCTAGAGCCGCAGGAAGCAGGTCACCAACCCAGTGTGGAGCTGCTCCAGGATGTCAAGCAGCTATCGGGAGGGAGTGAGGCAGTGCTGTCCGAAAGGGTCAAGGCTGTCTTCCCAGAGCTGAGCGACTAGCCCGTCCCTGGCATCACGGAAATGCTCCGCCGATTCAGAGCGGACGTCACAATGGACCCCACAGCAGCCAGTCCCTGGGTTACTGTTTCTGAGGATCTGAGGAGTGTGAAGATTGGAGAAGGCTGGCAGGTGGAGACCAAGCATCCCGAAAACTGTGCTTTACACGCTGTCCTTGCTACGCAGGCCTTCGGTGCTGAGAGGTGGACGTGAGTCAACTACCTGAATGGGTGCTGGGGATCTATACCCCCTACTTGAGGAGGAAGAGGGATAGGAATGTGAACTCCTCTGACTCTGTGCTCCTGCTTCACTGTGACAAGAAAGAAGAGGGTCACTATTTGCAAACCTGTTCCGGATCATTGAAACATGGAATAAAAGGTCGAGTGCCCAGGGTTGGGGTGTACCTGGAATATGTCTCTGGCACTCTAGGTTTTTACAATCTTCTTCAGCGCTCCCACATTTATAGATTCCACTCTATTCCTTTCACAGGGACAGTCACACCCTTCTTTTCTCCTGGCCTCCCCCTTCCAGGAACAAAGGCTGGTCCCACGACTCTCTGTCCAGTGGACTCTCATCTTTGTGCTTGCTGCTATTCTGAGCATCTCTCCAGGAGGAATCTCAACCCACCACTAGGCTCCCTGGCTGTGGTCCTTCAATTTCCAGCCATCCCTGCAAGAGGATGATCATCACTTACTTTATGATGAAGGAGACCCTGCTTATCCCTGGAGACTTGCCTTCCACACTGCAAGCAGAAGGAGATCATTCCCAACTGTTTTGTACTCTTATCCTCAATTGATCCAGTCCATCAATTTTCACAATGAATCAATCTTGTTTCAGAAGTAAATTTAAAAAACCCACATGAGCACTCTGGTTCCCATACTCTCATGTTTCATTTTCTTCCTAGAATTCATCACAGCCCCATGAGGTTCACAGATTTCACAGATTCTTTTTACCCATTGAATTGCACTAAACTTTCCTTTGCACCCTATTTAATATAAAATGAAATAAATTCTAGCATTTACTGTGGAAAAAAAATTCAAGGGCCTCTCCTTAAAAAGAAAAAAGATCAAATGAGATAATGGTAAGTGCTTAGCGTAGTGCCTGGCACATAGCTATATAAATGTTAGCTGTTATTATTACTATTGTTGTTTCAACTAAAACAAAGAGATAAAGAAGTTGTAGAGTGTGCTCTGCCTTGCAAAGGTCTCTGAAAATCACTTGGAAGGGGGGAGGAAGGGAGGGAACTCTTTGATTTGGGGAAGTCCTTTGCCGGTGCTACATTCATTTTCACGGATGCCATACACTAATGAAATCAATAAATGTATTAGTTGGTCACAGAATGTATATTTATAAACAGTTGCCACACACAGGTGACAAAGTACTTTCTGTAGATCATCTGCCTTGCCTGTCTCAGCAATCCCATGATGTGGGTGTCATGGGCATTATATTATGATCCCTATCTTACAGATGAGGAAAGCAAGGCAGAGAGAGGCAAGGTGATCAAGCGTCGTAGAGTTACAGCTGGAAGAGACGTCAGAGGTCAGGTGGTCCAAGCCAAGGCCACATAACATTAAGTGTCGGGGCAGGATTCAAACTCAGCGTTCTTCTGACCCTTGGGCCAGCACTCGTTTTATACCGCACTGCCTCTCAGTGCTTACATGAATCAACAAATATGATGTATTGGAATGTTTGTTTTCTTCAGTGTGATGTCATGGAAAAATGTTTGCTCTTGGGGTTTCATTTTCTAGCTGGGATACAAGCTAGGTAACCGTGTGCATATCACTTTCAATTCAGTTCAACAAATATTTATTAAGCACCTACTATGTTCTAGGCACTGTGCATATTAAGAAAAAAAAGAATTCCTGCACTCCAAGAGCTTACATTCGACTTGGAGGAGGGGAGGAAAGGGAGGCAAGTGGTATAACCTGGACACAGATAAGTGAATAGAAGACAGTTGGAGGAGGGGGTGAGTGAGTGCTAACAACTGGAGGAATGAGGAAGCAGAAGGAAATCCCCTTAACCTCACTGGAATGCATTTTACAGATGGGGTTTGTATAAGATCACATCTGAGCACCTTGCTTGCTCTGACATTCAGAGGCCTGCCTATGACAGCCCATGGAGCTGCTGGTGGGTGGTTGAGATTCTTTTTGCCAGAGAATAGAGGCTTTCATGTTCACTAGAGCAATTAGAGATTGATTTAAATTCAATGGGTGTTTAATAAGCACATGTTATGTGTAATGGCACTCGGGACACAAAGACAAAATTGAAACACTGCCTGTAGAGGGTAGCTATTTGGCGCAGTGATTGAGCACCAGCCCTGGAGTCAAGAGGACCTGAGTTCAAATCTGGCCTCAAACACTTACTAGCTGTGTGACCCTAGACAAGTCACTTAACCCCAATTGTCTTAAAAAAAAAAAGAAACACTGCTTGCCCTCAAAAAGCTTACATTCTATTTGGGGCAGTGGGGAGGACAGTATGTACACAGATAAATAAGCAAAAATACATTAAAAATGATTACAAAGTAGTTGGTTGGGGTGGGGTGGGGAACTAACCACTGGGAAAATCACGAAAGGCCTCTTGCAGGAGGTGGCACAGAAGCTCAGCATAGAGGGATGCAAGGAGTTCTAGCGGTCAGAGGGGAGAGAGGAGAGCATTCAATGCCCAGGCTTAGAAGCCAAGTCCAGCTTCATTGGGATTTATATTCCTATTGGGGTGATCAGAGCTTCTACAGAGGGTAGAGCTTGGTAGGGACTGAGGTTGGGGTAGGGCACAGAGGGAGGGGCTGAAGGTGGGTTTGGGTGGGCAGAGGGAGCACTGTGAAAGGCAGAATAGCAGAACTGCGGCCGCTGAAGACAGACTTCAGGTTCACAGTTTTGTAACAATTCAGCAATGAGTAAATGCCCAGCTATTGGTGGTCATGGGGAAGCAGGAGGGACGCCTGAATACACACATGGGTCCCCATCCTCCTAGCCACCTCCTTTCCCTTCAGACACTGACCCAAAGCTGTCCTCAAACTGGAACACTGATACACATTGCTTCAGTCAAATGATCACAAACACAAGGTGAGAAGGAGGCCCCCTGTAGGAGAGGCCCTTAGATAATTGTCAACTGAAATAATCCTTCCCTGATAACTTAGAATGCAGGGTACTCCCAGGGACCAACTTTTTAGGTTTTTATATCTGTTTATTTGATCCTGACCTCAGTGCCTTCATGACCAGCATGAGAATGTCAACTGTTTTAAGTTAGGAACCCCCTAAAATTACCTTCTCCCTTTCTCCCAGATGCCGGGCGACTGCTTTACTCTCTTCTCTCCTCACCCTTCATTGCTCGCTTCAATCTGTAACTAGATCCCCATGTCTCTGTCCTCAGGTACTTCGAATTTTATGAGGGACCTTTTGAATATAACTCCACCAGATGCCTGGAACTTCGCCATGACATTCTGGAGGTGAAGGTGCTGTCCATGTAAGTGTCCTCTTACTAAGAGTTCTCTGGCCAGGTGGGGTGGAAAAACTTTTAGCCCACTGATGACCTGTGTGACCATGGGCTGGTCTCTTCTCTGGGACACAGTTGCCTCACAAATGTCTTCAAGGATTTGACTTGAGAACTCCTAAGTCCTAGTTTCAATATTTTTGTATTCCTATGAAGTCCAGGGTGTCTCAGAAATCTCAGTTCAGTTTTCTGTTATTAAAAGCTAAAAACTTCACTAAGACTTTTGGGATACCCTGTAGCAAGAAAGGAGGCATTAATAGGGCACTGTACCTGGAGTTAGGAAAATCTGAGTTCAAATCCTGACTCAGACACTTACTGTTATGTGACCCTGGGTGAGTCTCTGTGCCTCAGTTTCTTCTTTTGTAAAATGAGAGGGTTGGAATTGATGGGCTCAAGGGTCCCTTTCAGCTTTAGATCTGTGATCTTCTGAAACATCTTCCCTATATTTCAGGACAGGCAGAAGGAGAGCTGGGATGTTTGAATACCCTGTTTAAGCTCATGTCCATGTATGTGGTTACTTACCTTACTAGTAATTTTGCGTGAAACCAATGCAGTTCAATGATGTATCTACATTCAATAAGACAAACATTTATTAATTGTCTTCTGTGTCCAAGGCACTGTGATAGACCCTGGAAACCAAAACAAAAAAAGAAGCCATCCCTGCCCTCAAGGGGCTTACATTCTACTGGGAGAGATGTAACATGTTCTCAGAAAAAAAAAATACAGTACAAAGAAAGACAAAGAAAGGAGAGACCAGACAATGCTTGAATAATTTTCGAGGAAAGAGATGACACCATCAGCTGGAGGGATCAGGGATAGGCTACATGGAGGGAATAACACTGAAGTTGAGCGTTGAAGGGGGGAGAGGGAATCTGAAAGGCAGAGGTGAAGAGGGAGTGAATTCCAGGTCTTGCAGACTGATGCCCTGAGGTCACAGAGATGGAAGATAGCATGTTCAGTTCAGGAAAAGCTGCTCCCCTATGTCTAGAGCATATCAAGTATAAAGAGGAGGAATGTGCAATAAGATAAAAAAACCAGGTTGAAGTCAGTTTGGAGAGGGCCTCGAGATCCAGGTGGGGGAGCTTTATATTTTATTTTAGGAACACCAAGGAGTCACTGACATTTTTTGAGCAAGAAGAGTGATGTGATCAACCTGTGTCTCAAGCAGATTATTTTGACACCCCTGTAGAGGATGGATTGGAGTGGAGAGAGTCTGGAAGAAGGGAGATCCATCAGGAGGTGCTCACAATAGGTCGGGTGAATGGTAAGGAAGGCTTGAGCTAAGGTGGTGGCCTCAAGGGTGGAGAGAAAGGGATAGATGCAAGGGTTATTGACAGAATGTTGTAACTGATTAGATGTGGGGAGGGAGAGGAAAGAGTTGAGGATGCCTCCAAGGTTACGAACCTGGATGGATAGAAAGGTGGCAGTGCCCTCAATAGAAATAGGAAAATTTAGAGGAGGGTTGGATTCGGGGGGAGTCCCAAGAGGAAGATTAGAGAATAGAAAGGGAAGAGAAAGGGTCCCAGGACAGAGTCTTAGGGGAAATCCATATACAAAGGATGGGAAATGGATAATGATTCAGCAGAAAAGACTGAAAAGGAGGGATCAGATAGGTTCTCCTGGTTCTCCTACTAGGAAAGAAAAGTATCTCAGAAGCCAAGGGAGGAGAGCATATGCAGAAGGGAAGAATGGTCATCAGTATCAAAAGCTTTAGAGAGTTCACATAGGATGAGGATTGAGAAAAGGCCATTGGAGTTTGCAGCTAAGGCATCATTGGTACCTTTTGGGAGAACATTTTCATTAGAGGGATAGGATAAGAAGCCAGATTGTGAGGGATTGAATAGTGAATAGATGGTGAAGAAGTAGGCAAGGAGGGGAGAAAACTCTTTCTATGAGCTTAGAGGGAGAAGGGAAGATGCAAAGGTTTTATCCCAAATTGGGGGTAATTTAGAATTAGCTTGTGGATCATTCTGCTGTCTTTCTCCTCCTATTCAAAATCAGAAACAACATTTAATGAGTGCCTATTCTGCACAAAGCATGAGGTTGGGAAGACAAATAGAAGACATGGTTCCTGGCCTCAGATAGCTTACACTGTGGTGTATGGAGATGGTACAGAGTCATAGAAAGTTCACTAATGGTGCAAAAATAGTCTATGCCAAGGACTGGATGAATGAAGTGATAAAAACTTCTAGGAGAGGCCAGAGGAAGAAATGATTCCTCCACCACCATGGGTCCAGGCCAGCAGGAAAGGATTCATGGAGGAGGTGGGGACTTGAGCTGATTCTGGAGTGTAGGTTGCAGCTAGACAAATAGAGAGAAGAAAGGAGGGGAGTATTTTAGGTGGAGAGAGGAGGAATGATGAAAGTGAAAGTGCAGAGGTGGGAACATACGGGGCATGTTCAGAACAGTAAATGATGCACCAGTCTTGCTGGAGTAGAGGATTGGTACAGAGGAGTAAAGGGATATAAGGTTGGAAAAGTAGGTTGGGGCCAGAATGTCAAAGGCCTTGAATGCCAGACTGGGGAATCATTAGTCTGAAGTCACCTTGCATTCTAAATCATTTGAGCAATAAGGATGTATTGAGAACTTTCTATATGCCCAGCTCTATGCTAGACATTGGGGAGATACAAAGGAGTTTGATGTGATTATTACTACAAATATGAACACTCTCTAATCACATTCTAGAATCACTATATCCAGATGTGCACATTAATTCTGAGAAAGATTGGATGGCAAATTTAAGAGGACACAGAGCAACTTAAGGGCATTTAAATAATTAATAAGTAACCTACCAAACTTCAGGTAGTACCTTGTTTCCAACAGAACAGCACCCAAGGCAACCCTTTTTTCTTTTCCAAGGAAAAGGCATTGCCTACACGTGCTCTGATGGCACCGCATTCCTTCCTGTGGGTAAAAGTGGTCAGAATCATGGAAATAATTTAGCCACTTGACATGATTTTCTATCCTTGGAAATGTTGGCATCTGGAAAATTTCAAAAATGTGTGTGTGTGTGTGTGTGTGTGTGTGTGTGTGTGTGTGTGCGTGTGTGTGTGTGAGAAAGGGTGGTTAATGGAAACATAATAGGTGCTCAGTAAATTTTAAATTGAATTATTATTACTACAATAATAATAATTATGAATGCTATTACTATTCTCTTTCTCTGAAGATCAATTATCTGTCAACCTGGATTAACTGGAAGGCAGCCAAGAACACAAAAGTAGGCAAAAAAAAAGGTGTCTGATAAACCAAGTAGTTGATCCAAAAGCTCATTCACTTTCTTAATAAATGAGCCCCCTCAGGCTCTTATTTAGAAACTATTTACTCTTATTTTGGGCATAATTCTAATATGTTTGGTGAACTAGTTTTTGGCCACAATATATTAGAAGATGGGACAGAAGAACTGGCACAGGCAGGGAGAAGTGATAGCTGACAGCCTTACATACAGAAAAACTCGACAAGGCAGACATAGTACTCAAAAAAACCAGCACAGTGTGGGGCCCTTTTGTGTAGGTAAGGATGTTTTGCCCTGAAGGCATCACTGTATTAAAGCAAAATGCAGTTGATATTCTGAGTGATGAGTCATGGAGAAAAGGTTAATTCTTGACAGATGATTTCTAAGATTCCTTCCAGCTCCTTCTATGTTCAGTTCTTTTGCTTAAGAAAGTAGAGAAACATAGGACACATTTTAGAGACTCCTTTCAAAATGGTTAAGACAAAAGCAGTTTTTTTGCCACTTAAAAATAAGAGCTTTAGTTATTCACTTATGTGGCACAGTTGGTTCCTGTGTGATACTGGGTTTAATAAAGACTTTCTTTCTCTCTCTTTTCTCTCTCTCTCTCTCTTTTTGACTTGACCTGAGATTTCATCAGTGTAAAGAGCTCCAGGTGAGGAATTCTCCCTACCAATGCAAATTGGCACCTGCTCTACATTTGTAATCTCAGAGAATTGTCCGGGGGCACTGAGAGGTTAAGAGCCTCATACTGGGGTCACAGAGTCAGTATGTGTCAGAGGGCAGGACCCCCAGACTCCAAGGCCAGCCTTTGATGCATAATGCCATCCCACCTTACATTTAGTAATTGTCATTTAAGGTTTTCAAAATGCTTTCCTTACAACTAACCTATGAGGTAGGTAGTATGAGTGTTATTGTCCCTCATTTACAGATGAGGAAACTGAGGTTCAGGAAAATGAATTGATTTGTCCATGGTCACATGGTTTCAAGGGTGATTTAAATCCGGGTCTCTTAAGTTTAGGGATCATTACACAACTTTTGAATCTGGCTACATAATATTTGGTCTTCTAGAATCTGGATGAGAGGCCTTTCCTGAAGGGCCCCTCTCCTCTTTCGCATCAGGACCATGAATTAGGGAGTAAAAGAGTTACTTTATGGCATGCCGAGATGGTCATATTCATTGCCTTTCCTTGGACTATGTGCTGAGTGAGAGCTGATGCCAACCTTGGACTGGGATAAGAAGAGAAATTATTGGGGATCAAGGTGAACTGGGTTGAAATTTACCGGGGAGTGAAATCTGGTACAAACTCCATCTTTTCCAGGAAAAACCCCTCTCTGTGTCCAGTAGTGGTCAAGTAGGCCATCCTTCAGACATCTTAGTGCTGTGGGGAGTGGGCCCTAGGAAGAGCCAGGTTTGGACTTCATACTGTAAGGGAATATGCCAGTCTGGAGGGTTTTTTTTTTTTGGTCTGGATCATTTCTCTGGGGAGAGGGCATGTGGGACTGCCATAGTAGGGCGAAGTGGTGGTAGTAATGGAGAGAGAGGGAGAGTGTGTGAGGGGTGGATGTGTGTGTGTGGGGGGCATGGTGTGGGTGTCTGACAGGTGGAGCAGAGCAGCCTGGGTGTGAAGTGGGACCACTTCACCCTTGGGCTGAGGGTGATGCAAGACTTTGCTATGAAACAGCACCTTTCTCCTGACTCTCACAGAATGGTGTGCTAGGCAGAGAGGGGGTGATGGGGAGA